GTTGGGTGATCGTAGAGGTCTTCCCCGACCTGAATGACTGTGTGCGCTGCTGCTGCTCGGTTCTGACCCGCGCCTCTCCCCGCCGCAGGCCTACAACATCCACGTGAACGGGGTGCTGCACTGCCGGGTGCGCTACAGCCAGCTGCTGGGGCTGCACGAGCAGGTAGGGAGGAGGGCGGAACGCAGCGCGCTGTGCCAGGCCTTGCCTGCTGTGTGACATCCTGCCTTGGCTCCTGCTGGGTGCTGGCTGGGAGCGGGCGACGAGCTGTCTGCTCAGCGGAGCCCTGAGGATCAGCGTGGCTGGGTGTCGGGCCGTCCCTGTCTCTCCGGGGGCTCTCACAGCGCTCTGCTCTCTTCCCAGCTAAGGAAAGAATATGGCACAAACGTGGTACCGGCCTTTCCCCCAAAGAAGATCTTCACTCTCACCCCAGCGGAGGTAGAGCAGCGCAGGGAACAGCTGGAGAAGTACATGCAGGCTGGTAAGCGGGACGCTGCAGCCCAGGGTCGCGTCCCCAGCTTGGTGGCACTGCCCAGGTTACCTTCCTGTGGCCACGCAGGCCCAGCGTTGGCCCCTTCCTCCTGCAGTGCTGAGCTTGCAGCAGTCTGTCTCAGTGTTCCTGGCTGTGCTCTGATAATAGCTGGCATCGTTCCCTGAACGTCGGCCTGCAGTACACAGCACCACCAGTGCTGCTCTTCAGTCCCCAGCCCCTTCCCTTGCCCTACACCAGCAGAGGTGCACCCCCCCAATGCCCCAATCTGCAAGGAACGCACGGCCATCCGTGCACACACCCTGCACTCAGCACGTGCTTTGTCTGGATGCAAACACTGGGAGGCTGCAGAGCAGGTGGGGGCTCATGTGAGTCCCTGTGCTTTCCCAACTAACACTTCTCCTTGTTTGTCTTCTACCCCAGTGCGACAGGACCCGACACTGGGAGGCAGTGAGACCTTCAACAGCTTTCTGCGCAAGGCCCAGCAGGTGGGAAGGAGCTGCCAGGCTGGGGTGATATGTGGTGGGCCCCCAGACCCAGAGTGGGTGGCAGATGGGGCCAAGCTGCCAATCCCTTCTCTCTGCAGGAGACGCAGCAGATCCCTACGGAGGAGGTGGTGCTAGAAGTGCTGCTTTCCAGTGGCCAGATGGTCAAGGTCACCATCCTCACCTCAGACCAGACGGAGGATGTTCTTGAGGTGCCAGAGCTCTTGTGCTTTGTCCTTGCCCCAGAGCAGGGTTGTCCTTGGCAGGGGTATGGGGAGTGGTGGAGCTCTGTGATGCCATGATCCCTTGGCTTCTCCATTTGTTTCCCCTTTCCTGTCCTCCATCCAGCAGAGGTCCTGCCTTCCCACAAAGTGCCTGGGCTGGATCCTACCAGGGGGCTGCAGGGTGACATACACAGGTGCTGTAGCTCTCAATGGTGACCTCCTGCTCTCGCTCATAGGCTGTGGCCTCCAAGTTGGATCTGCCCGATGACCTGGTTGGCTACTTCAGTCTCTTTCTGGTGCGAGAGACCAAGGATGGAGCTTTCTCGTGTGAGTAGAGCATGCTATGGGCAGTCCCACAAGGGCCTGGTGGGCTCCCCCAGCCCTGAGCCTCTGCTGAGCTGCCATTTCCCTGCAGTCGTGCGGAAGCTGCAGGAGTTTGAGCTGCCATATGTGTCTGTCACCAGCCTACACAACCCTGAATTCAGGATCATCCTGCGCAAGAGGTGAGCTGCAGCCACTCAGCACCTGAGGGTGGTGTCCAGGACTCCTCACAGTGCAGAAGGACCTTCTACTTCTGCCATTGCTGCCCATAGGGTGCTTTGACCCACTTGGAAATGCACTGCGTGTCCCCAGTGGGGCTGGACTGCCCCACAGGGATTGGTCCTTGTGTCCTTTTTCCCAGACGTGGCACTTCCTGCCTATAGCAGCCCTACAGAGAAGGACGTGGGTGTGCTGGTGGCCAGTAGGTCACTAGGACCAGTAGGTGAGCCAGCAGTGTGCCTTTGTGGCCCAGAAGGCTGATGGTGTCCTGGTTGACCAACAGTTGACCAAAGGTTGACCACGAGCCAGCAGGGGTTCTCCTGTCTGTTCTGCCCTGGGCATCTGGAACACTGGGCCCAGTTCTGGGCTCCCCATTTCAAAACTACCCTGGATGCTTTCCTCTGCAATGTGCTGTAGGGAACCTGCTTTAGCAGGGAGTTGGATTGGATGATCTCCAGAGGTGCCTTCTGACCCTCCACGGTTCTGTGAGCAGGATGTGGCTGCTGAGGGCTACTGAAGGGTGCAGGCTGTGGGGGCAGCCCAGCTCCACATCCTCACATGCAGGACCGTGTTCTTCCCATCGCTGTCAGGAGTTGGGGAAGAAGCTGACTCGTGTGGTTCCTTTCCAGCTACTGGGACTCGTCCTATGATGACGATGTAATGGAGCATCGTGTGGGACTCAACTTGCTGTATGCACAGGTGAGGGTCTGTGTGGCCCAGCGGGGTGAGGAGGGGGCACCGCACACCCACTGACTGCTCTGCTGCTCTCGGGGCTTTGGGCCCAGCTGCTCACCAGCCTCTGCTTCTTGATAGACGGTGTCAGACATCGAGCACGGATGGATCCTTGTCAACAAGGAGCAGCACCGGCAGCTCAAGTCTCTGCAGGAAAAAGTCTCCAAGAAGGAGGTAGGGGAGGGCGTGATGCTGTGGTTGGAGTAATCCCAGGCACCGGCCCCGCTGCCCCATAAGAGCCCCGGGGCAGAGCTTGGTGCCCACATTCCAACTGACGGAGCTGCCTGTGGGTGCTGACCTTCCCTGGCTCTGCCCACAGTTCATTCGACTGGCACAGACCCTGAAGTACTACGGCTATCTCAAGTTCGATCCCTGCGTCACAGACTTCCCTGAGAAGGGCTGCCACGTCGTCGTCAGCGCCGGCAACAACGAGCTCAACTTCCAAGTGCGGCTGCCGAACGAGCAGATCAAGGAAGGCAGCTTCAAGGTTACACGCATGCGGTGCTGGAGGGTCACGTCCTCGGTGAGTGCCTGGATCCTGGGCACGAGGAGGGCTGCTGGGACCCGGCTCTGGCAGCTCTCAGCAGGAAAGCTGCTGGCTGGGCTGGAAGCCTGGGGAAGGTCTGGGGCATGGGAACTGGCAGTGGTGAAAGGCCCACGTGCCTCAGCTTGTGTCTGTGCAGGTGCCGATGAGCAATGGTCCCTCAGGGAGCAGCCCTGGCAAGTCGGAGGTGAAGCTGGAGCTAGCTTTTGAGTATCTCATGAGCAAGGACCGGCTGCAGTGGGTTACCATCACCAGTCCACAGGTAGGGCTGCCTGCACTCCAGCATTGGAAAAGGTGGGAATTAAGGGCAGCTCAAGGGAGGGGGCAGGTGTGGGCTCAGTGTGGTGTGTTGGGAAAGCTATGGGGTGTGTGGGGCCACTGTTTGACAACACTTCTCTCTTGTAGGCCATCATGCTGAGCATCTGCCTGCAATCCATGGTGGATGAACTGATGGTGAAAAAGTCAGGTGGCAGCATCCGCAAGGTAAGGGTTGGGTAAGCATGTTGTCTAGGCGGGTCCCATCTTGCCCCTGTGACTTTGTGAGGTCTAGGCTTGGCCTTGCTCACCCTCCTCAGCATGGGGCCAGCTGAAGGATCCCCAGGAGGAAACCCAGCTCCTGGAACTACCTACCCACGGGCACCCTGCCACTGAGTCGAGTTTCTCCCCTGCAGATGTTCCGCCGACGGGCAAATGGGGCTCTGCGGCGCTCAGACAGTCAGCAAGCCGTGAAGTCACCCCCACTGCTGGTGAGTGGGACTTTGTCCCAGGCTTAGCTGTGGGTCAGGTGCCAGAGCCAGAGAGGATCCACCAGCAGGGCTGTTGCCTCGCTCCTGTAGCCTTGGGATGAGAAAAAGGCGGCCCTGGGGCCGTCCTTGAGGGAGGGAGGCGATTGTGTCTGGGCACCCCCAGACTTCACCTTGAGGGTTGGCAGCAGCAGCCAAGGGCTGGTGCACAGAAGAGCAGTGAGCACAGGGGGTGACACAAGGCTCCCTGACCGTGCTGTCCCTGCAGGACTCGCCTGACGCCTCCCGGGAGCCAATGGCCAAACTCTCGGTGAGTTGTGTGTGCATGTAGCTGGTGCTGTCACACTGAGACTGAGCATGGAGGGGATCCTCCCTAACACACCTCCTCTTTCCACAGAGCAAACTCACGTCTGTTAGTCTTCGAGGGATCAGTCACTCCAGCTCTGCTAATGATGTGGGCGCTAACGACTTCCATGGCAATTACGCCTTTGAGGGCATTGGTGATGAAGATCTGTAGCCGCTCCCCCCTCCTAGGACAGCACTGGCCTGAGGGCCCCAGGGCCTTCGCCGAGGAATGTACGACCTGCAGACAGGTTGCAATCGACGTGCCTCTCACCTGCTACCATCCACCTTCCCCTGCTCCCCAAGGGCTGGGAAGTGCATCCCCAACCCACCATTGCCTTCAAGGCTGGGGGCAGCTGAACTCCTCCTGTTGCTGGCTTCCCACGGGGCAGCCTGTGCCGGTGCCGAGCCCTGGAGCAGGTGTCATGGAGCCCAGCCCAGCTCCGGAGGGGCAGAGCCCCCCCTTCTCCCACCCTGGGAGGACCTGGGCCTACATCAGGCCTGGCCCGCTGCGTGGGCAGGCGGCTGCCCCAGGGGGTGTTGGCAGCAGCCCGGTGGCACTGAGCGGCCCTCACGAGGCTCCATAATGCCAAATTAGCCTTTAGGTTTCTGCTCAGAGACAGAGTGCAGTAAGCTGTCTCCAGTGGGGCTCTGCGCAGAGCCCTGTCTCTAACCTGCTCGTAGACTCCAGTGTAATCTAGGCTTGTAACCACCTATCTCCTGCTGCTCAGACCGACCAGAGCATTAATGGACAGTAACCAATGTTTACATACTGCAATGATGATTAAAATGGATTCTGATTGGTACCTGGGCTGTCTCTTGTGGGGTGGCAGCCATCCCTCCCCTCCCACCTCCTGCCCCACGTCCTCTCCTGAAGCAGAACAAGGTCCCTAGGGAGAATACCGGATAACAAAACTGACTGTTTAATGCTTTTATACACAATATAAATTACACTGACCGGTATGGCAGCAGCCACAGAACCAGTCCTGTTCTCCCCCTCCTCCCTTTCCCCATATGCTGGCGGAGGAAGGCTCTGACGGGCAGGAGGAACAGGCTGGTGCCACCCTGTGGTGGCAAGGGCATGGCCCCACCACAGGCAGCATAGGGCTGCAAGATACCCCTCCCAGGGCAGTGGGCCCTGCTTAAGGCAGCCCTGAGCCCAGGGGAATTTGTTGCCCATCCCTCCCCCAGGGAGGGCAGGGGCCGCAGCTGATGAGGGACTGGGGTGCCCTGTGGCCCCCCCAGGGCCCAGCGTGGGGCCAAGCCCCTGCAGCCAGACTAAGTGCTGTTCAGGGCAGGGCCGTGTCCACGGCAGGAGGAGCCAGGAGGGCTTTGGCGTTGCGTGGGTTGACCCAATTCTCAGCCGTGTGGCCGTGGATTTTCTGGTGGCGCTTGTAGTTGTCCCAGTGGCCAGTGGTGTAGGTGCAGTCCCGGCACTGGAAGGGCTTCTCGCCCGTGTGTCGCAGCATGTGCCGCTTCAGGTTCATGCTCTGGTTGCAGCTGTAACTGCAGAGGCTGCACTGGAAGGGCTTGTCACCCGAGTGGATGCGCCCGTGGCGCTTGAGGTTGGCCAGGTTGCCGCAGGCGTAGTCACAGAGCTGGCACTTGTAGGGCTTCTCACCCGTGTGCACACGCTGGTGCCGCTTCAGGTTGTCGAGGTGGGCGGAGGCGTAGGGGCAGAGCGGGCAGGCGAACGGCTTCTCCCCGCTGTGCGTCTTCATGTGCCGTGCCAAGTGGTTGGGGTAGTGGGTGACAAAGGGGCAGAGGCTGCAAGCGAAGCCTTTGTCCCCGGTGCCTTTACGAGGGCTGGCGCCCGGCTCGGTGCCCAGCACCGCCAGGCTGCAGCGCCCGCAGACCTGCTCGGCCAGGCCCTCGTCCTGTGCGAACCCATCGTCCAGCACCAGCCCACACATGCGGCACGTAAAGGGGAAGAGCAGCTCGGGCAGCGCTGCCGTCTCCTCGCCCCGCAGCCGCGCGCAGCCGGGCAGGAAGGGGCCGGTGCCGCTGCCCATGTGCAGGTTCAGCTCCGGCAGCAGTGGCTCTGCGAGACAAAGAGAAGCAGGGATGTGAGCAGGCAGCACAGTGCTGGCAGAGCACAGCTCCTGCGAGCAACCCTGGCTCCAAGGTGATGGTGTCCTGGCACAGGCCAGCAGCCACTTGAGGATGTGCACCGAGATCGACACAACAGAAGATGACAAGATGTGCTCCTTGCCCATCTCCAGACTGCGCTCTGGGACTCTCCCACCGCAGTTTCCCTCCCAACCCCGCCTTACCTGGGTCCTTGTCCTGCTGGTGCTGCCCCTCGCCTTCAGGCAGGCGGTGGCTGAGCATGTGCCGCTTCAGGTTGCGGCTCTGGTTGCAGCGGTAGTCGCAAGCGGCACACTGGAAGGGCTTGTCCTGGCTGTGGACCCGTTCGTGGCGTTTGAGGTTGCCCAGGCTGCTGCAGGCAAAGCTGCAGCCCGTACAGCGGTAGGGCTTCTCCCCGGTGTGCGTGCGCAGGTGGCGGGTCAGGTTCACCAGCTGGGCTGAGGCGTAGGCACACTGCGGGCACGCAAACGGCTTCTCCCCGTTGTGTGTCTTCATGTGGCGCTTGAGGTGACTGGAGTAGTGGGAGGCGAAGGGACAGAGCTGGCAGGTGTACACGATGCGTTGGTTGCGGCCGCCCTCGGTGCCGGCGCACTGCAGGCAGCTCTGGCCCAGGCTGGCAGCCAGCTGCAGCCCACACTGGCGGCAGGGCAGCGCTGCAGGGCCGGGCTCGCCGCCTTCCTCAGGGTCGCTGTCCACGCTCAGCTGCTGGTACCCGGAGGAGCAGTCGTCGTCGCTCAGCGCGTACGCTGGGATGGCGATCTTCCCCACCAGTGCCTCTGCTGAGAAGAGCATGGGGATGGGATAGCAGCGGGAGCTCGCTTGGCTCACACGTGGCCCCAATTTGGTGCCACCGGTCCCAGGAGGGGGGACTGCAGATAAGAGGTGCTCACCCCAGCGCTACGCAGGAGCCCACTGCAGCCCCAACACTCAGACGGCAGCCCAAGCTGCCCCCAGGTCTTGCTACAGGGCCTCACCCAGTTGTGCCGGGTGGTGGTGGGCACAGCTCACCAGGCTGCTGGTCCTTGTCCCTCGGCCAGCAACAAGTAGTAAAAAAGATGTCCTCTGACCCCACACAGTGCTGCTACTCAACAGAGAGGCTCTTGGAGGGCATTTCTGCTTGCCAGCTGGACAAGGACGTTTAACACCTATGCCCCAACACAGGATGGCAGAAGCAGAGCCACTGACCTGCAGCCACCCACATCTAGTCAGTATACCTGGAACCCCTGGACGCGCCCACAGGCTGCTGCTCAGGACAGAAGAGTAGTGGCATGCAGCAAAGCCTTGCCATAGTCAGCCTTAAGCCATCTCCATCCATTCCTGTGCTGTGCCTAACATGGAGTGCATTCAAGAGGCTGCAAGAACCAGCAGTTGGCTCTTGCCTTGGATTGTCCCCTTTGCTGCTGCTCACCCCACAGTGTCATGTCCCAGGGTCCCTGGGCACAGCGAGGCCACTCCAGGCTCCCTTGTGTTTTCTAGTCCCACATTTGCAAACACTGGGAAGATCTGATGCTAGACCAGAGCATCCTGCTACAACCTTGCTATTGCTAGGGGAACACCCTGACCCTAAGCCCCATGCTGAAGGGACGCCCTGCAAGCTTGGTGGCGCAGCCCAGCACCCCTGCAGCACTGCCCCACTGGGACAGCACAGCCCATGGGGCTGAGAACATGACCAGTGTTGGCTCTTCAGGAATCCAGACCTGCGTGACACTGCTCCCCAGCCAGGCTGGGCCTGGGGGCAGGAAGGGCTGCTTTTCTAGTTGCAAAGAGCTGCTGCAGAGAACAGCTTTTTGCAGCACAGGCAGTGCCCGGCACCACGGAGCCAGCTTCGTCCCAGTGCAGGACTGCAAGCACGCACTGCAGGGAGGTGCAGCTCTCGGAGCAGAGCCCATCTGCCAGGCAGCTGGGGCCGAGCCTCAGCACAGAGCGTGGCATCCTGCACCCAGAGCACAGCCCTCATAGGATCAGATGGGGTGCAGGAGCTGGGTGGTGCACATCGCTCCGTGTTCAGCGCATCCCCGCCTTATTCCCCGCCCAGCATCCGAGGGCAACGAGCCACTCTCACTGCTCCCTGCGAGGCTCCGGGTCTCCCGGGGCAGAGCGGTGCCGCTCTGAGGACACCCGGTGGGGGTCGGCGGCGGCCCCTGCAGCCCCAGAGCCCGGGGGCGTTAACGGGAGGTAGAGGCCCTACGGGGGCACCGCGCGCCTGGGGGGTCCCCGCGTTACAGGGGAGACGGCTCTCCCGGCGGATGGGGATGGAGGCCACCGACGGGCGGACACAGCCGGGGGTGGCGTGGCGGCGGGGCCGTGCGGGGCGGCGGCACGCACCTGGCGGTCCCTTCTCGCAGGCCAGGCCGCGGCCTAGCAGCAGGTCGCCGGGCAGCACCAGCGCCGCTCCCGCCGTCTCCTCGGGGCCGTCCTCGGCTTCCGCTGCAACACACCGAACGCCGCGGGTCACCGTCGGGCTCCGGCCGCCGGCTCCGCCGCCGCCCCCCGGCCCCGCCGCGCACTCACCCTTCACCGGCTGCGGGTGGCTCTGCTTCCGCCGGGGCATCGTGGTCGGTCCCGGCCCCGCCGCCCGCCCTCCTGCCCGCGGCCCGCCAGCCGCCCCCGCCAGCCCGGGGCGGCCACCGCCGCCCCGCCTCGACCGGGCACTTCCGCTTCCGGCCGCCGCGGGACAGGGCCGGCGCCGGAAGCTGGCGCGACGCTCCGGAAGTAGATCGCGAACCCGGAAGCGTGCTCGCGGTCCGCCGCCCTCCCGCTCCGCCGCCTCAGCGCCTGTGCCGGAGGAACGCGGGCGGCGGCCGCTGGGGCCGCGGCTTCGGTATGCGGCGGGGGGGCCCGGCCGGGCAGCGGGAGAGGCAGGCGAGGACCGGGCGGGTCCCCGGGGCCAGGCCCCGCGCTGGACGTGACCGAGGCCGTGCGCGTGTCTCCGTCGCTCTGAGGCCTCGGGCCCGGCCCCAGGCTCGGTCCCCGCCTGCAGGAACTGCGCCGCCCGCTCCGGGGCTCCGCGGGAGGCCTGAGCGATCCTCGGTGCGCGGCGCCGTCGGCGGCGATCCGGCGCAGAGACGTCACTGAGGTACGGCGCGGTGCGGCCTGGGCGGGGTGGTGGAACCGTGGAGTCATTCGGGTTGGAGCGACACTCCGAGATCATCGGGCCCACTGCCCGCGTCCCTCAGTGCCACATCCCCACGGAACGCCTCCAGGGACGGGGACTCCACCGCCTCCCTGGGCAGCTGTGCCACTGCAGCACTGCTTTTTCAGAGGAGAAGCATTTCCTCATATCCAACCTGACCCCCCTCTGGCACAACCTGAGGCCATGCCCTCTCCTTAAAACAACAGCGTTCTTTCCAGGGAGTGGGGCAGCACGGAGGCCATAGTGTGGGCACTTCTTACTCCTGCTGCACCAGCCTTGCAGACAAACTTCAAGCAGAAATAATATTCAGTGGGCATTTGGATCCGAGCGGTCTGTGAGGCCTTTCCCAACCTTAATGATTCTATAATCCTATAAAAGTCTGTGGTGATGGCAGCGGTGGCCTGAGATGGAGAGTCGAGGTTTCACTGGCTGTTCAGTTCCCACCTGACCAAGGTGCTTTGTAACCCAGAGTGGCACAATGCAGTGCTGTGCACACCCCCAGCAGAGCAGACGTCATCATACTCCTCAGTCTTAACCTGAGTCATCACCAATATCTCCCCCTTCCAGCGATGGGGTTTTGCTGGTCTAGCTGTAGTTGAAGGGGAAAAAAACCAGCAGAGGCTGCTGGAGGAAGGGTGGTGGCACAGAGTGTGGTGATGCATTGGAACAGGTTGCCCGAGGAGGTTGTGGATGCCCCATCCCTGCAGGCATTCAAGGCCAGGCTGGATGTGGCTCTGGGCAGCCTGGTCTGCTGGTTGGTGACCCTGCACATAGCAGGGGGTTGGAACTAGATGAGCATTGTGGTCCTTTTCAACACAGGCCATTCTGTGATTCTAAAGCAAGTAAAGGAAGAAGGATGCAGCAGTGCCATGGGAGCGTAAAGCATATAGTGTGGAGAGAAGGAGAGCATGGAGAATGGTGGATCCACCAGCCCTGGGGCCAGGGGGGTTATGTTGTGGCTTCATGTTAATGTGAGCTCTAAGTAAGGGAGAACTGTGACAAATTTACCTCATCTCTCAATCCCTGTTTGTCTGATGATTTGGCTTTTGGGTCTCCTAGCTCTGTTGTCTATTTTACATGCAGAAGAGGAGGCTGAGGGCTCTGTGCTGCAAGGCTTGTAACTGGGGAGATTCATCTGACCTGCAGGAATGGGTACCAGTTTCCGGCCAGTCTGGTGGCATAGGGGCTCTGCAGGTCCCCTTTAGCTCATGTCCTCCTCAGATGTCCTCTTTAGTGCAGCCCTGTGGACTCCCTAGGGCTGGCAAAGCAGGAAGACTGAGACCACTGCTCAGTTTCTGGGCCCAAAGTATAGTGGGATCTCACAGATGCTGAGAGCTCCTTCCCACCCCCAGCAACTCCGTGCTTATCGCATGTACCTCCTTCACAGGCTGAGCAGTGTGGGCTGCAGCTGGAGATGCTTTGACCACTGACTGTGGAGACGCTGGCTCCAAGGCACAGGTAGGACGTGTCTGCCCCGCTATGGCTGCTGTACTGGGGCTGCCATCACCTCACTGTCCTCCATAGCCTGCCAGAAGCAGATTGCTGCCCTGACGTGCCACCATGGAGCAGCCCACATGCATGCCTCAGCCCCCGCGCGTCCTGGGCTCCTGTGGGCAGAAGGCAGAAGCCACAGGGGAGATGTCACCGGACCCGATGCAAGAGCCAGGGGACCCCGAGGATCTGCGCATTGCCCTGCCCCTGGGCGAGGATGGGGAGCTGGTGGAGTGTCCCCTCTGCCTGCTTCCCCAGCCACCTGAGGCCTTTCCCATCCTTGCCTCCTGCTCCCACCGCTCGTGCCGGGCCTGCCTGCAGCAGTACCTGCGCATCGCCGTCAGCGAGAGTCGTGTGAAGGTGGCCTGCCCACACTGCCCCACCGTGCTGCAGCCTGCTGACGTCCACAGCCTCCTGCCCGAGCCTGCCCTCCGTGACAAGTACGAGGAGTTCCTCCTGAGGAGGCTCCTGGCAGCTGACCCTGGCACCCGCTGGTGTCCTGCACCAGACTGCAGGTGACTGCTGGCCCCTGGCGTGGATCTCTTTTTCCTGGTTTACTTGCTGTCTGGTGTGCCTGCATGCTGTGAGCCTTTTATAGGCTCGTGACTTGATTGAGTTTGTTCAGAGAGATGTCCTGATTGTGGCTGCAGAACCTGGGCAGCTGTGTGCGTTGGTTAAGGCTGGGGCGTTTGGCTGTGCTGGGCCTGGCTGTGGGGAACCCGGGGAATTTTGTGAGTGCTGGGTTGGGGAGGCTTTGCTGTGGTCACCGAGCTGACGAGAGTGGCACCTGGCTCTTGAATGCTGACTGCTGCTCTGTCACAGCACAGAGCTGGGACCTCTTGATGCACAGCCCAGCTGCCAGGCTGGGTTGCAGGGGGAGGCCATGGACACAGCTGGCCCCAGCAAACTACCTGCTTTCTTCCCACAGCTATGCTGTCATTGCCTATGGCTTTGCTGAGTGTCCTCGCCTCACCTGTGGGCGTGAGGGCTGTGGCACCGAGTTCTGCTACCATTGCCGGCAGCTCTGGCACCCTGATGGGCCATGCGCAGCAGCACCGCTGGCCTCCAGCCTAGCCAGCCCCTCTGCACAGCTGGTTTACACAGAGGAGCCTGCCAATGGTGAGACCTCGATCCAGGATGGGAATGTGGGGATTTGACACATCTGAGTGAAATGCTCTTCCTGCCATGGTCCAGTGGTACCCGTCTGTTGCCTCTGTGTGGAGGCGTGCAGCCCCAGGGCTGGGGTAGTGGATTAGGACCTTGTGCTGGCAGTGCCCAGCTCACCCAGACACCCACAGAGTGGGCTGCAGCCCTATGGCAGGGGCTGGGGGAGAGCTGCAGTGTCCTGTCCTGTCCTCAATCCCAGTTCATCTGCCTTCTCCCTGCCAGCTGAGGCTGAAGACATCAAGGTCTGTCCCCGCTGCAGTGCCTTCATTATGAAGATCAATGATGGGAGCTGCAACCGCATGAACTGCACAGTGTGCGGCTGCCTGTTCTGCTGGCTCTGCCTGCAGGAGATCTCTGACGTGCACTTCCTGAGGTCAGTGTGGGGCTGTGGGTTGTGATGGGACTTGGGGGTTCCATCAGGAGTTGTGGGGGCAGTGGGATCCTGCAGAGAGCCACAGCCACGTTCTGCTAGGTAGCAGGGGTGTAGCACTGCTGCAGGGTTTGCCAGGGGTCCATGGTGGGGTGGGGAAACTGGGTTTTCTGCTGCTCTGGAGTGCAACAGGTGCCATTGTCTGCCTGCCCATGTGCATGTGCTGTTGGCCCAGCCTCGTGCTGTCCTTGCAGCCCATCTGGATGCACCTTCTGGGGTAAGAGGCCCTGGTCAAGGACCCGGAAGATCCTGTGGCAGCTGGGCATGGTGCTGGGGGCACCTATGGTGATCTCCCTCGTCGCAGGCATTGCTGTGCCTGTCATTATCATTGGGCTTCCCATCTACACGGGTAGGAAGGTACTGGTCCTGGGGTCTCTGTAGTCTCGCTCTGCATTGAGCCTGGCAGCTCCTGGCCTCAGGCCTGGGGGGCATGTAGACTACAGAGACCCCAGAGGTGATTCACCTGTCTTGCTTCTTCTCCAGGTGCTGGGCCAGAGCCGAAGGAGCAGCTTGTCACCGTGCCAGCAGTGCTTTTCTGTCACCAGCGGCGTCCTCCTCTCTCTCTTTGTGTCCCCCATCATAACAGCTGTCACGGTGGGTAAGTGCATCTAGGGGCTGGTGGCACGGGCCACTGATGGAGCAGCTTTAGGGGGATGTCAGAGACCTGTAGCAGTGGACCTTTGGCAGGGGTGGGGGCTGCCAATGCAGGCTGGCAGTAGCTATGTTTCTGCCCACAGGCATTGGCGTGCCCCTGATGCTCACCTATGTCTATGGAGTGGTAGTGCTGTCTCTGTGCCGAAGCCGCAGTAGCTGTGGCCGCAGCCAACCTGGGGACCTCGGTGTGGTAGAGCTGGAGAACTTGACCAAGCGTGAGTTGTGCATTGCCAGCTGTCCCCTAGTGGGGACCCCTGTGTGGTGCTGCATGGGCTGTGATCCTGCAGCTGCGATAGCTCCACGGCCTGGGGCTTCCTGTTGGCCTGGGGCAGTGGGGAGGTTGCAGGTTGGTGTCCTGGTGGGCTGTCCAGAGCACCTACAACCTGCGTCCAGTTCATATGCCTCCCTCCCAAGAGCTCTGGGGGCTGTTCTGCACCTGATGTTGAAGTGTTCCTCATGCACAGGGTTCAGCACCATCTCTCTCTCTGCCAGTGAATGAGCTGTGGTCAGTGCTGCCCAGCCCCAAGGGCGTTGAGGATGGAGTCCCAGACACAGCCACCTCTTTCCCCAGCAGCAGCCACAGCCCACGCCCCAGGGTGATGTGGAAGGAGCAGGATAGCCACTCAGCCAGCACCATGGCACTCGCAGGCAGCACGCTGAGTGATACATCCTACCGGTGAGCTGAAGGAGACCTGGGGAGGCGGGAGGTTGGCATGGCAAGTCCCCTTTCCTAACAGCCATCCCCGTGCTTACTGCACTGCTGGATGGGGACTCAGCAGCATCCTCCTGTTGGGCTGCTGCCCTAATGTGTTCGTCTGCAGAGAAGGCATCAACATCGAGGTGGAAGTGGCGATTGAATCAGTGCCGCATCCCATCCGAGAGCAAAGCCTGTGCAGCCCACAGTCAGGGCAGTCTCTCTCAGGGGACTCCCTGGGGGGCACCAGCGACAGGTGCAGTGTCACAGGTGTCCCAGTGGAGTGAAGAGGACTGTGCAGCAGTGAGATGGGAGATCCCTGAGCCGCAGAGCACCCACTTCAGCTCCCATCAACATGAAGAGCCCACGCCCTCCTTTGGCAGCCCTGGATGCCATCCACGTGGCATCAGCAGCTCTAGGGCCTGGATCTGGCCATCCCCAGAGTCAGCAGACCCTCACCTCACACTCAGCACTGCCTGCTCCTTGTTGTATCCATCCCATCCCACCTCTTCCCCAAAGGCGGGCTTGAGCATTGGCACTGCTGAGAAATAAAATACTCCAAGAGTCAAAGCAGGCTCTGATCTGTGGTGCCCTCTAAGGACTGGCAGGGCTTAGGGTGGCCAGGCCCCACCACAGCCAACAAACAACAGGCACAGGCTGTGTGGTGCCTGTTACTTTGTGTTCTGTGCTTTTGACCCCTAGTTCAGCCTTAGCAAAACTGATTTTATCCTGATAGCAGACTCATTATTAGAGCCAGAGGCCTTGGATATGACACACGACATACCACAAGCATTTTGATTTGAAGTTCTCAAGATAAAACACCGGCAGCACACAGCAGGTGCTCTAAAACCAGTTACGTCTCAATGCAAATTTCCAATGTGAGATCACTGCCAAACAGACTCTGTGGAGTCTCTTTAATAACCAGCACCAAAATTGAAAAATGACCCTCCTGAGACAGATACCTCACTGCAGGAGCCAGACAGACAACAACCAACCCTGAGTGGGGCTGCAGGAGCATGGGAGAAACAAAAGCAGTTCCAGCTCTGCATATGTCATTACTGAGCACTTAACAGAGGGACTTGGGGTCAGGGCCACTTGGGAACAGTCTTACCTTGTCACAAAGATCTGAGTTCTCTGGGCTGGTGAAGCATGGGTGCAAGGTGAAGGGACACAGCAGCAGGGAACAGCAGAGTTCATCCCACAGGAGCAGCGGCAGTATTGACCCAAGCTATACAAAGCTGTCCACAACTCAGAAACCCTTACGGTGCCCTGAGACACAGGAGAAGAGGTATTCTCTCCTCCCTTCCCACCTTCCTTACCCACTACTTCCAGGAAAGGACCAACGACCAGAAGTACAACTATGTTTTCCGGGCTTTTAGTTTGAAAAAAGTATTGATTGGAAGTGTACAACAGAATGAGGTGTGGCGGCAGCACCACAGCCGGATTGTTTCACAAATAAAAACAGAAAGGGCCTTAAATAATTGGGTGCAGATTTAAAAAACCTCAACAGTGAAAAAGTTCTTTCCCTCCGAACAGAAAGTCACAGGCACAGAAATGGCAACAACCACATGGAGACAATGGGGGGGACATCCTTCTAACCACAGGGCTCTGTGCTAAGAGGTTGCCACCGATGGTGGGCTCCCACGCCGTGGCCGTTGGCTGCTCCCATGTGCAGCTCTGCCCTTGGCTCGCTCTTTGGAATGGTTACAGATGAACAGTGCCACATGCCCTTGCTAACCAGACCCGCCCCCCAACCCCCCAACCAGGACACGGACAAACAAGGCCTCTGCTAAGGCTAAAAAAAGGACAAGACTTTGGAGTCTTGAGTTCAGCATGTTTAAGAAACGAGAGTCTGGTGAGCGCACAGCACAGTCCCTGTGCGAGGCTTGCTATTCCAGCTTGGCCTTCTTCTTATCACTGCCATTCTCTTCTGCTGGTGCTGCTGGTGCTGCCACATCCTCCAGTTTCCTCTTCCCACTTTCAGCAGGTGGGTGTGTATTGCGGGGTTTAAAACTGATGATGATGCAGGTCATGTTATCGCAGCCAGTGCCGTCCCCTGAGGTGTCTGGAGCCAAACACTGATCCAGCAGCTGAAGAAGGATGGGACAGGTTAGCAGACAGCAGAGACACAGCACTTTGAATATTCTGAGAAATTGGGCCCCCTCTGATAGCAGTGCAGGTAGGGGCTGCCAGCCCAGAATAGCATGGGCTGGGCTCAGGTGTTTACAGGCAGACGAGGGACAGAACCAGCCCTCAGTACCCCTGACTTCCTGAAAGTGGACAGAAACTCCTTTGGCTTGACAGCAACATAGGGGTCAAAGACCCCTATTAACCAAGGTGCCAAAAGAAGTGGCCCCTAATACAGATGTGACTCTGCTCCTGTAACAGCTGGCACTGCAACCTACATGCTATGCTGCCAGATACCTTAAGCTCTGAACAAACTGGCCTGATGGAGATGGAGTGCAGAATCACTGTATGCGAAGAGACTGATGGGGTGAGCTTTGGACCTTACCTCTTCTACAATGGAGGAGAGCGGCCTCAGGACTCCGTTCTCATCCTTTTGGGTGATCTTGGACTGGATGAAATCCACCACTTCCTGGCTGCTCATCACGTTCCTGCAGAACAGGAAGGTCAGAAGGGTTATTAGCTAAGGGAGTGGTCATACCACAATGTCCCAAGAGAGAAAGATCAGGGCAGTGATGGCCAAAGAGGAACAACTGCTCTCTCACTACCTACCAGATTCCATCACAGGCAATGACCATGAAGTCATGGTCATCATTTATTGTCAGCACTTTGATGTCAGGCAAGGCAGAGATCATCTGTTCTTCTGGAGGCAGATTCTTGTTCCGCTTGTAGAAGTGATCACCTGTAGAGGAGAGGAGGATCAATTTATACAGCTGCTGGGTACTGGCAACCCTGCCTACCCCTGAGCAATGAGGAACACTACCCAGCCCTAACAGAATTGACACCGGTGTTCCCATTACCAGAGCAGATTTGACTGTGGGGACATCAGACAGAGAAATCTGCCGCACGCAGGGCACAAGGTGAGCCCATCACGCTGTTACCATACAGTAGGAAAGAGGAGTGCTAGCATGGCTCTGCTGTGATAATGTTAGATGCTCATTTTCCAGAAACTCGAGGCCAAATATGACAGTACAATGCCTGACCTGACAGCCCACATTGCACTGCTGGGTTTGGATCTTCTCAACCCTCAGTAAGCTAAAGCTCACTTGAGAAAAATCAATCCTCAGCTCTGACTAAGGGGCTTATCTGGCATTACACTGCAGGAATACACTTCCATAGCAAGGACAGAACAGCAGGCAATAGTTTCCTTAGATAAACAGACCCCTAGGTTTCATCCTACATGTGTTTTCATCTTTTTACCCCTGGGTAATCATTTCTGTGGTTTGGATCTTTTCACACAAGAACTCTTCACTACAACCCTTACCTGCTGACATTTCTCTGCCTTCTCTGTGCGCTTCCTAGTATATTATCAGTGTCATTGCCTACCCTTCCCCTAATGCCTCCAAGCCTCTCATCTGCTCAGACTGTTGGGCTGTTACCAGACATGCCCGATCTCCTGAGTTATTAATGACTCCCACGTTACTTGTAAGAGACCAAAGGATGAGAGGAAACAGCAGTCAGGTGCTGCCTGAAGCGCTGCACAAGGAGAATGGAGCTTGTACAATTAAAAGACAAGACTGGCTCAAGAACAAATGGGCTCAAACTGGTAGAAAGTTAGATTTGTAGTAAGCAACATACTAAGATACTTCAACAGCGTCCTAACAAGCAACAGAAAATCTTTCCTATTGGAAAGTCAAGTTATTTTTTTTGAGATAGTTTATTATGTAGGGTGGTTTCTGACAGCCCAGCTGCAGGCACAAAAGCCCTGAAGGCCTCACATACTGCATCCTGTGCCACAGCCTGGCAGGGGCTGGGCGTACTCTCCACTGACATCTGCCAGTTTCATGGCTGTTTTCTCTAATTAGGCTCACCAGATGAAATACCAAACAGATTCTAAACATCATCAAATTGAAAACTGTTCCTCAAACTTAGTGGCTGGCAAGCGCTGGAAGCACGGATGCCCTGAGGCCAGGCACACCACTGTTCACCCCCCAGTTCTGCTCACCAATTGCCCTGGAGAGGTTGAGGCCACCATTCACTCTCCCATCCATGGTGACCTTGCCGCCAGCATTCTTTATCCTGGCCAGTTCTACCTCATCCTCTGGCTTGTGGTCATACGACATGTCGACAGCTTTGCCACCTTCTGACACCACGCAGCGAGAGTCTCCAGCATTAGCCACAATCAGCTGCTTGCCTCGGATGAGGGCCACGACAGCAGTCGTCCCACTGTCAGAGCCAGGCTGCAAGAAAAACATTTTTGCTCAGGCTTCTTCCTATTGCTCTAGATCAGATGATAAGCAACGCTAACCACCATGGGCTCAGCACTGCCCCACTGACCCTTCTTCCCATAAGCACACAGAACAATGGAGAAAATGAAAGAAGAATGAAAAATGGCAGCAGTGTGTTCACTCAGAGGCATGATCAAACCACACCTCCACTGCAGCCTCTCAGCTGCCCGTGATTCTCCAAGTTCAACACATCCTGCTGTGCCCTCAACTCTAATGCAGCACTTCCAGCTCCCGCCCAACTCAAGCAGAAGACTTGCAACGAGTCAGGATACCTCTCCAAAGAGAGAAAGTTGGCACCTTGGAAGCTCTAAGTCCCTTTCCTTGAGATCCTGGGTCCCTGGCCATCTGCAATGGGCTGAGGAGCCACAGCCCTGACCTGGCCAAGGGCAATGCTGTGCCCGAGAGCAGCTGTCCTGCTACTGTCACACGTGCCCCTCCCATGCCAACTCCCACAGCATTTCTAAGCACAGCAAACCCTGCAGTGAAGTCTCAACCTGGTGCCAGATACATGCCCTACCCCTCCATCTTTTGCCTTGAGTCAGGCTGTCCGTAGCTGTGTTCAGCCTCGGGAAAACAGAAGGAATATTCTTAGCTGAATGGAAAGCCCCCTGCTGAGCCTCATCCCTCCCCCCACTCCTTGCCATGTGCCCTTGGCTCCATGCTATGCTGCAGAACACAGGAACAAGGTGTGCACCTCCTCTTTCCCCTCCATGCCTGGTAACAACATTTCCTCCTCTTCATCCTCATCCTCCTCTGCTTCTTCAGTGTCATCTTCATCATCTTCATTCTCTGCCTCTTCACTACTGTAACCATCCTCATCTTCACTGCATTCCTACAAGAAACAAGAGATACCACCAGGAGTCACGCAGGACACCCTCAGTGCCCTCCCCAGACAGCTGGTCTCTCCACCCCAGGGACAGAGGATCACTTTGCCCCAGAAGAGTGAAATGACCTGGTCGGTGTTCCCCAAACCTGATGTCTACAAACAGAGCAGCTAGTTTCAACTACCACAGTGAATGGAGGGATGGTGCATGCAGCAAGACTGATGAGTATCCACTATGGCTGCTGTGCAGGTGAGGGTATGCTGCCCTCAGAATTATCTAAACAATCCCCAATGAGATGGCCTCATAGTATCAGCCTGAAAAACCTACTCCTAGGGCACACCTAGGATGAGCCTTGTCGCTCAAGTACCACAGCAAGCAATGCATTCTGCCCAGCCAGAAGGCCACTCTGTCCCAGTGCTGTTTCCTACCTCACTGTCTTCCTCCTCTTCCTCAACCTCATCTGACTCATCCTCACTGTCCTCAAAAAATTTGGATTTGGTTGTGCGCTGGGGCTTTCCCGTGGAGGAGCAGGAGGGCCCGGCCTCCCCAGTAGAAGAGGTGACGGCCTCGTCACCTTTGCCTAGTTCAGGCTTCTGCAGAGCAGGGCTGTTGCCTCCAGTGCTGGCTTTGTCTGAGGTGGAGGAAATACCCGTGATTTCTTCATCTGGCTTCCCATTCTTCCTCTCCTTGTGGTCGATAAGGTCCCCTGGCTCAGCCTCTCCGTTCATATTTGACTCCCCATCATGCTGCTTGCCTGTCCCCTCTGCAGCATTCTCCCCAGCCAGAGCTAAGGACTTGTGTTTGAGGTTCTTGGTGCAGTTTTGTCCATAACGTGTGAGAAGTTCCTCAATGGTCATTGTGGCTTCTTCGTGCAGAAGAGCAGCTTCCTCATTATCCACTAGAAATGGAAAGGGGAAGGGGGGTGAGGACAAAGAGGGTCAAAAAGCAGGACACATCACCATAGCAGCAGCTGTGCAACACACTGTGCTCAGCAGCGAGTTGCCGTGACTGGAGGTTGCTATTTGCAGACGTGTTTCAGCAATGCTCAGCATGCTTGCTGCTCACCAGCAGGCACAGACAAATGCAGCCAGACCTGCACCATCCCACTGCTTCCAGGCACTGTTGATGAACAATATGCAGATGGCAGGGGAAGGGCTCCTACCCACGGCCGAGGCAAGCAGTCTGCAAGTTATCATAGCGCCTCAGGCTGCTGATGCTATCTGGCTGGCTTGTAGGCAGCACAGAAGTGTTTAAATTACATGTAAAGGTTGGGGGGTAAAGAGCCTCGTATTACACCAGTGTGAGCTCAAATGAAGCTGTGGGGGAAAGCAGACAGACCACTTTCATGTGCAGATTTGCTCATTAACACTGCGACTGTGAGCAAGTTTTTGTTACAGCAGTTGCTCCACAGGGCTTACGCATTTGGGATCTAGACATTTAAAATCAGATCATAAAGTAGCTTTAGGTCTGAAGGACGCTAGACAGAAAATAATTGGGAACCCAGGACTAGAAACTCCACTGATATCAGGTAACCTTCATCATTTCCCTGCTGACAACCCCCCCTGGTTATCCTTCTCTTTGCAACTTAATGTCAAAATGAAAAGAAACAGCCATATCCCAAATGCTTCTGAAAAATAAAGGATGAAAAAGAAAAAAATAAACCCAATAACAACAAAACTGTTTGTTGGCTGGAGAATGAGGGTTAACAAACTCAGCAATGACAGATCAACACACTGTTCAGGGCGATAGCATCCCTTTACATCTGCTTGAAGGCTAGACACAAGCTATTCAGCCAAGAGCAGCACAAGATTCTACCCTGGATTCATCTTCTAAGTTGGCTTCATGATCTGGCAACTACTTGCTCACAGAAAAGCACACTCACTTCTTGGCAAGAAAGAATTGCTGAAAAGAGACAAGAATCTCATTCAGTCCTGCCTACAGTTTGTCTGACAGCAGCCTGGCAGAGATAAGCACCACACATTTCACTTTTACAGCTTAGCCCACTTCCCAGCTCAAGGATTTCTGCCACATCCTAGAAGCCTGCACATGGAGGATATCCTATGGAAAACTGCTACAGGTTGGGTTGGCTGTCCAGAGGATTAAGCTACCAAATGAATTCTCCTAGAACCAGCTCAAAGCAATGGAGAGAGGTGGCAGCTTCATCTGAAACTGAACTGGGTGATTTGGACAAGCAAACATTCTGCTAACAGAGACCTGGTCCAGATGCTCTCATGCCTGACCTGGAGTTGCAGTCTTATCTTGTCAGTGGCATCTGACTACTTACCATCATCTTCATCAGCAACTTTCTCCTTCTCATCTTCATCATCTTGGGGTCGCCCAGCCATCTGAGAGAGCTCTTTAATCACCTCCTCAGTGGTGAGCTTGGCATCTATGGCTAAGAAAGCATCTTCCAGGGCCTAAATATGAACACAGACATAATCAGGACACACAGTTTCATCTTCCCTATAGGATACCTGCTGTGATCAAACCTCTTCCAGAACACACCACACGAAATGGAGACCAAACTGGTCAAGGCAGGCAGTATCTCTGCGTCTATGTGGTCCAAACCAGATCCCAGTACCAACCCTGGGGATACCCAATGCCAGATCAGCACCACAGAGAATTACAATAGAGGAAGGTGGGGCAGACAGGTCCTGGAAGGACGGGGCACTGTGTAAGCCCTTGTTAACAAACAAGGCCTTTCTGCTGCCCTGGTATTCATGCTTGTTCCAGGGCAGTGCTTCACTCATACCTTTTGCAATTTGCCTTCCTTATAGGCCTTCTGATCCTTGATGATCTCAGGAAGATACTTGGCACAGTACAGGGCAACTTCTTCTCCTGAAAGACAGCAGAAACCACTTAAAGATGCTGGTCCTCCCAGAAGCACAACGTATGCTTAAGCAACCAAATTCCTGAGGCAGACCTTGGGATGCTATCAGAACCAACCCAGGTGTAGAGAAAGAAATCACACAGAGCAGACTGCTGTGCTTCTCAGGTATGCTTTGATTGCTGACGACCCCTGGGAAACTCAATAACTCACCCCTCAGAGTTGGGTACCACTGTAAGCTGCCAGGAAGGGAACATGGGCCTATTCCAACCACAGGACAACTGCTCCATGTAGGCCCATTCTATGCAGAGGGAAGTTGTGCAGAGGGAACATAGTGAGAAGTAAAGAGGGGGGTGAAATTGGAGGAAAAAAGAAACAGCAGACAAGGGACTTTTTGAATGTGCTTGCTGAAAAGGGATTAAGTGGCCATTGACAAAGAACAGAAACCTTGCAAAACAGCTGCTGTTAAAATAGCACTGAAAAGTTCAACACTGTGGAGCTACACAACAAAGAGATTGAGCTCTATTCTGATCATACTCTCAAAAATGTGGTGGAAGGAAGAGGGGAAAAAATGCTGGAAGGTCACTGAAAAATAAACAATGCAAGAAATGATCCCAGTGCTTTTAATGAGAACTTGGAAGGAAAACCAAGACAACCTGACAACTACAGACCTGGCAGGGAAATAAAAGATTGGCTGGGGCTCACAGGATCCCACATGGAAAGGGCAGGCAATTAATGTCCATTAAGTCAGGCTTATTGGAAAGCAGAACTTGTGGATCTAACTCAACACCTGCTCATAAAGATTCTATGACTTCTGTTGACAGAACTAAGCATGATTTAGTTTAGTTGTTTAGGGTCTTTTCCAACCTTAATGATCCCATGAGACTATTTAGGGACATGGTGGGGATGGGCTAATGGTTGGATTTGGAGCTCGTTTCCAACCTGAACGATTCTATGATTTCATAGAATGGCCTGGGTTGACAAGGACCTCAATGATCATCTAGTTTTAACCCCCTACCACGGGCAGGGTCATCAACCACCAGACCAGGCTGCCCAGAGCAATTTAGGTAAGGTATAGAAGCACTTTGCTCAAAAAGTTCAACTTTCAAGATGCCACACACCAAATAGGTTAAAGAACTGTTCATGAGACAAACTGAGCAAAGAATCACACCTGAACATGTTTACATGTGATGATGGAGGACTGTTACAGATGATACAGTCACATTTCTATCTAAGAGCCAAAACAATTTCTACTGGACATCCATGGAGATAGCAGTGAATAATGGCAGTGACACTGGCAGATGAACAGCCAGGCCCAAAGACAGTTGTGAGAATGCAGAGCTCGTGCTCAGAACTTGGCTGGTACTTTGGCTTAGACCTAGATATTACACTTATGTGTTCCCATTACAAGTTCTGACCAGTAAGCAAAGTGCTGCATTGTGCATCCCTCAGTAGAATAAGAAGAAAACCCAAGAAAACTGCAGGAACAGCTTGTCAAAAGCCAGAAACAACAGCATGGGGCTACTGACATGATTGCCAGACATCAATACAGTCTACTCCAGTTTCTCTTCCAACTCAATCAGCATGACAGCCCTGACATCTGACTTATCTACTTTCTAATCTTGTTTGGATACTCCAGTGAAGCTCCATTCCTGCCCAGTACTCTGGGGTGTGTGGTGCTGGAAGCAGCTGACAGATCTAATAATACCAGCGTGGACATCTGATCCTCTGCCAGATGGAGATGTTTGAACAGTGCAATTTTGTACCAGAGCTAGGGACAAGAAGTTTTCTTCGAAGTTACAGGTAGTTTGATCTGAGTAAGTCACAGCAGCTTTACTGTCACGGGCTCAGTGCTTCCATACTGCCTCTGTAAGCAGATATGGCATGGGTTGGTGCCCAGCCTGTAGGAAAAAGGTGCTCACTTACAGTGTTTTAACCAAAATGCCCAGAAGAACAAGATTCTTCTTTGGGGTCTTCAACCTGTGGTAGATGATTTAACAAAACAAAAGCTGTGCGTCCCCTCAGTAAACAGGAGGCAGCCAGCAGCCCAGCACACAGACCACAGATCCAGTAGCTTGCACAGCAGTCCCAGGGAGGTCTGATGGTTTTTATAAGCTGAATCAGTACCTCAAAGCACAGCGCTGCCAATGTGGCCAGAGAAACTGAGCTGGCTCAAAGTACTCATCTGTCTCAGCATTTCTGGACTATCAACAGCAAGAAACTCATCAGATTTTTCTCATCAAAAAAGCCTTTGTGAGAGTGCAATCTAGAAGCCAGATCCTGACCAGAGCACTGAGTGGGCATTAGGTGTCAAAAGCTGTGCCAATGGAACCTTCCCACAGTCGTGCAGAGGTGCACTCAGCATTACCCTTCTGGCTGCTAATGGCTCCTTTCAGTTCATTGGGTACTGCACTCCTGGTTTTGGTTACATGTCAAAAATCAGCCCACTCACCACATTTTATCAACATCTCATCCTCACTAAATATCAAGCACTTTCCCTCTGAATACTCAGGCCCATGGAGGGATGAGGGCAGCAAGAATAAAGCAGAAGAGCCAGGTGAGAAAGCTGATGCAGAAACCTCTGTCCTGCTGGGTGCTCTTTATCACACAGGATACTGTGTGCAGTGCCTTCATCTAGAAGCATCCTCAAAAGCCTTCAGGGGCTGAACACGTGGAGAACAGAATTATTCATATATAAGCTGAATCCACATCTGCATTATGAATCCCTCGGCACAACTCTCAAAGTCTCCATTAATCATTTTATTGCTGTTTTCTAAGAGAGAAGCATCCAGCTAAGTCTCACTCAGATGATATATGAAGCAAACCCCATTTATCCTGGCAGGTCAGGTACCCAAGAGCCAACAAAAATTGTGCTGCAGTATGATTGCTCCATCTCCAGGAGCAGGGGCTTGAACAGGACGTGTGAAGACAGGAGCAGGCAGTGGCCTCAAGGCAGAAACATGGAAGCCCAGGCAAGGCAAAGGCCTCTAGAGATCAAGGTTCCTAGATGAAATCATTGTCAGTACATGGACGTGCACAAACCCATTCCCTCCTGCCTTTGTAAGAATGAAAGTAGATCTGACTGGAAGATCTGATCTTTATTTAGACACATTCAATTTGAATTTGTAATAAGGAAAGCTCAGAATCAAATAACGAATAAGCTGGCTATCAACAAGCACCATGGAACACCTAGGGACCAGTGGGCATGGAGGTGATGGATTGGTGGCTGGACTCAGTGATCTTAGAGTTCCTTTCCAACATTGATGATCCTATGACAGTGTTGGCATCCCAAAGGGAGGAGCTGCATGTAAATGAAATCACTTATTGGGAAAACAAACTGTGAAGTAAAATGGAAAGCTACATATGAAAAAACATCATAAGGAACACAATAATAAAACTTCTCCCATGCGAAACTGGGAGATTAATAGAGACTTAAGGCTTAACTAGATTAAAGCTACCAGGAATCTGAGTGAGGTATAAAAGAAAAGCTAAATTATTTCTTTCCACTGACAGCTAATAAATGTTGGAGAGATTATTGCCTTAAAAACTGCTTTAAATGGAACAAACCTGAACAACTGTTTTGAACTGAAGAAGTACTGCAGCAATAAAACCATACAAAAGTAGAAATGGACAAACGTTGGTCTTCCAAGTCAGGTTCAGTTTGTCTGTGTCTGTTCTGATGAGGTTTGCCAAGGAAAAGCTGGAGAAATCCAACCCCCAGAAACGTAAAATACAAGGTAGAAATCTATGCCAGTGCTTTGCCATCCCAATTAATGGCTTTCCCCAGTGTCTATCACAGATCTTTTCTATTGTATTAAAAAAAGTAAAACAAAAAATTCCACAAACAGAAGAACAGAAACACACATTGCTTCCTATCCTACACAAATGTGAACATCAGAAAGAAGCCCTTTTGACAACCAACACGTGAAATAAATGCTTTCAGCTAACAAGATCACACTGATCTCAAAGAAAAAGCACACTGGCTCGATGTTATTTGTTCCTGACCAGTTTTTGCCAGCTGTTACTTTATCTTCTTACTTGTCAGATGCTTTCAAATGGTTTCTGAATTTATGTAAGAAAACCCACTAAGCTTTACAGTTGCTAAGTGCTCTTCTTCTTTGCCCTTCTCTGCCTTTCAGAACCAATCCATCACTCAGATGCTCTCAAAGATAATGTTGGGGACACAAGCAGGTGCCTACCCAGTTCTCTGCATGAAGTTCTCTTCCATGAACTGGAATCAAGTTCAAGAGGAAAAGAGTTTCAAAACATTCAATCTAAACACTTCAGACTGATATCATCTCTTCTGTGTAACTGTGTCAGTTACTGACTCAGACCAACCTTTGTAAGAAGAACTGCCACTACAGATAAGCCTTAAACTCTTATTTACAAACTGTCAGATTTAGATAACTTGATTCTAAAAGCAATCACACATGAAAGCGAGATGCCAAGTAGGGGAGCTGGTAACCTCCTCCTTCATTTGCTCCACTATCAAAGACATGAAAGGCACATACATGATACAAAACATCTATTAAAGAGCTTCAGAATGTGGAGGAAACTGAGTTTGCAGAAGTATGGAGCAACACATCTGGTATCTGAGCCCTGCAAATACATGATATTGGCAGATGAAATTCCTCACTGACAGACACTAATACTAATTTGTGGATCAGATCCTCCTGGGAACTGTGCTAAGGCACATAGAGAATATAGAGGTGACTGGGGAAAGCCAAGATGGCTTCAATAAGGGCAAACAGTCCCTGAGAAATGTTGTTGCCTTCTATAACAGGGTTACAGCATCAGTAGATAAGGGAAGAGCAACTGATGTTATCTACCTGGACTTACGACAGGCTGAGAGAGCTGGGGTTGCTCAGCCTGCAGAAGAGAAGGCTCTGGGGAGACCTTTATGCCTTCCTGTACCCAAGGGCCTACAGAAAAGCTGGGGAAGGACTCTTTGTCAGGAATTATAGTGATAGAACAAAGGGTAACAGCTTTAAACTAAAAGAGAAAAGATTTAGATATTAGGAAGAAGTTCTTCACTAAAAAGGTGATGAGGCAGTGGTACAGAGTACCCAAAAAAGCTGTGGGTGCTCCATCCCTGGCAGTGCCCAAAGCCAGGCTGGATGGTGTCCCACCTCATGGCAGAGGTTGGAATGAGGTGATCTTTACTGACCCTTCCAAATCAAACCATTCTGTGAACAGAAAAGGCAACCAGCCTACATATACACATTGGATGGGCACAAAACCACCTATTACCACTTAAGAAAGATCTTAGGATTTGGTAGGAAAGGAGCTGAGATCAAAGCAGACAATGCTTATGTCACAATAAATTGATGGTATGTCCGTATCTTCAAAGTTATAAGCAATGCTTATCTGGCCACCTAAAAGCACACTGCAGAGCTAGAATACATCCAAAACCAATAATCATAATCAGAGCTGTGGAATAATATAGTGCCTGGAATGTGTGGTTATGCCCAACACAAGCAGCATAACTACTGCTGTGGCCCAGGCATTTCATCACCTGGGCTAAATAATGTACTGGACTGGAATAATTCATGGTGCACTTTTAGCATAAGGCAGTTAGCACTCAAATGACTTCTGGATGCAGTTCAGGAGCAAGAAGGAACTGGACTAATAACCAGATTGGATGCAGACACACTATTCTAAGTCAGGTTAATAGCATCAGTGGACCTTAAGGGCAGAAAATGGGGGCTGCTTTTATTTAATTTAACAGCACAGATTTAGGACTCTTCCTACTAAAAGAAAGAACAGAGTCTAAAATAATGAAAGTGGAAATTGATAACAGTGATTATTTACCAATTTCTTGCAATTGAAGTGTACAGTATGGCAGTGAAATTACTGGGTAGCAGAGCTAGATCAAATTACTTGTTCAAACACAAAAAAATTATTTACTTATATACAACACATCCTATGCAAATAACCACCAAATTTATAAAGCTACAATCCCTGTGATTATCCTAACTTACCCCACAAGAAAATAAACAGGCATTCTTAAATGAGGTTTAGAAGACAGAATGTAAACCTCCTCGCAGTTTTGTGTCAATCCATGACCTTCCTTCTAGAAACCCCAAGAGACTTTCAGAGCCTCAGTCAATCTACGTAACAAAGTGCTTTCCAAGAAGGAGCAGGATTTCTAAAGCTAGGCAGATACTGGCTCGAGCTGCCATGCCAGAAGCCACTTTTACCAAGCAGCCACAACAAAGAACTCTGGGGGGAACAGGGGTGCAGTTACCTCCGTGTCCATCATAGACTGAGAACATGGCTGTTTCACTGTCCAGCTCTGGTATGCAGTTGTGTGCATCCTGAAAGAGAGAGCAGAAATCTGGGATGAGATGGGTTGCAAAAGGCACTTGTATAAAAAGGAGCAGAGAGGCCGTAAGCGCTGACGCAGGGAGTCTCAAAGCTGGAGGAAGAACAAGAACATATTCCCAAGAGCTTACCTGGTGAGAATTCATCTTCAGAGAAGAAACAAAGATCTTTAACATTGTGGTGTTCTCTGTGCTAGAGCAGCTCAGCCTCTTTACAATTAAATCATGCTGTATACTGTTTTAATTCCTCAATATGGCTCTAGATATTGCCACGTTCAAGTCTGAATCAATTCCTTCTTTTTGAGGTATCTATAAGGGCTGTGTTACTGCAGCAGCCCTCTTCCCCTGCTCTTGCCAAACAAGTTCTGTGCGAAGTGAAAAGCTGCTCTGAAACATTGGTGAACACAGAAGGTTACATATGGAACCTCCTGAGCTTGTGCCTTCCACACAACCACAGGCTTTGCCTTAGCTTGTCCTGTGAACACGACCACAGATGACAGCAGCTGTCTATCCCAGCAGACCAAGGAAAGGCAGCCTTGCTTCACACAGGATTACTGCACCCACCAAGAACAAAGAGCTGGGCTGGAAAACCTCCTCTTGGCACAGAGGCTCCTTCCTGCTTCCATCACACGGGACGCTCCTGACAGCAAAGCAAGGAGCCAAGCATCTTTACAGCAACAGAGCAAAGAAAATGCAACTAGCAGTGCTCAAACCAAAGTACAGAACCAGGTATCACTTCCTAAGGTAAGACAGACATCTCTGTTCTGCCAGCTGTCCAGAAACTCTGACACTCTCCACAGACAAACAGAAGGGAAAGTTTGTCCCAGGGGCTTTAGGGTAGGAGTGTCAGAATCCTACCAGTCTGTACATGCTCCCAGACTACAAAGACAACCAATACACAAGGTGTATACATAGAGAAGCCTCTATCTCCACGTGGTCACAGGAGCAGCAGACCTGGAAGACGACACTGCCCAGATCTTACAGCCAGTGTGACCTCTTTCACCCTGAGAGCAAACCAAACTTCTGCTAGCAAACATGCATGGGACTGTTTAAACAATGTGATCTTGCCTCCTTGCTGTGGTTGAAGCTCTTAATCTTGAATCTCAGTGTGCTACAGATGTCCCAAAAGAAAAGCACTTGCTCCAAGTCAGCTGGCTTCAGGTTTGGCTGCATTCACGCTGCCAGCCATCCCCAAACAGTTCTAGACATACACTCAGCCACGCTGGATTGCTTCACAGCTGAGGAGCTTTTCTGCTCTTACCCTCACTTCTCATAGCATTTACAGAAGCCTGAGAGATAACAAAACCACACTAAAGTAACTGGGATACGTCCCTGGTGACTAAGCAGCAGCTTAATTAGAGCAAGTAACGCAAATGGGAGGAAACCCAAGGCTGGCAGCAAAAATGATCTTTCTACTCCATTTGTACAACTGCAACACGTCCTGATCCCAAACCAGGGCAGTGCTGTCGAGGAAGCAGACAAACAGGTAAAGGACCTCATGCTCCAGAATGAGAAATGGAGCTCCACAAAGCCCTGCTGCCAGCAACCCCACCCCTATCAGCCTTCAGCTCAAAGCATTTCCTCATGTATAAAACCACCTCTCTGGACTAAAAATGGGTTTTTATACTATGTTTCTTTAGAACTCCTTATACCTGTCTCACTTGGAGGCTCCTAAAACGTCACCCACAGGCAACAGACAGAACTTCAACAGGATCTGTTACTAACTAAAAATGCCCATATTCTTCTACCACTTCCATAAATGCTGCTAAGCTTCACTAACAAAACCCATACCTAAAATCTTTAGTATTAACCAAAAGAATACACTTCTGCTCAGAGCTTTTCCCAAGCTTAATGGAAAAGTGGAAGTACACTTAAATGTGAAAAAAGGGGTAAAAGCCCACCCCAAAAAACCCCACCAAACACTTAGGAGTGCAGTGAACCTCCCTGCAGCAGGTTCAGTTTGTAACACAGCACTCCCACCATTTCATTCCTCATGATAACGCAGCTGAACCACGTCCACACCAATGCCCTCAGCTCTGCTTTTCTCAGTGGAGAGATATGCCAAAGATGTTGGTTAGGGCAAAAAACACAGCTGCAAGCTCTGGCCTTCATCCAATTTCCAGAAAGGTCAAAAGCAGTGAGAACAGGCTTCAAAACAGCAAAAATGAGCCAGCTTCCCACCTGTGGGAGGACTACGATGACCCACCAGCAGAGCTGCAGGCTCTCTGCTCTCCCCCATCTGAACCCACATCCTTAAGATGTTTCCAGCCTCTGTGCACCAGAACACTGCCCACATTCAGCCTTTTGCCACAAGCTGATGGCTGCATGTCACCCCAGTGCTCCAGCTGCATCTCTGTTTCATATAAAGGCCAACTCAATGGAGATGCTACTGCTCACAGCCAACTGAGCACAAAAACACCGAGTTCACCTTAGGAATTCTTCTTTCTGCCTCTTCTACTCTAGAAACCATACCCTGCATCTTCATAAAGCTCTGGTGCACACAGAAAGAAGGAAAAACTCAGTCACTGCTTTGTCACCAGCGAAACCACTAAAGCATTTCAGAAGTGACGAAGTGTCCCATCGTGGAATTGTACTGGCAGAACCCAAATGCTGTGAATGGACCATCCAGACCAAGCCAGAGGGCTGCAAACAAGAAGGTGCTTTTCCACATTCAGAGGAGATGCACCCTTAAGGCTGCAGGGCCCAGTGTTGCTCCTTCCCGAGCTCCCCTTGTTTGCTAGCTACCTATAAAGAGAAAATTAACCAGGACATGAAGGATATTCATAGACTCACAGAATAGCTTAGGTTGGAAGGGGCTCAAACACCACCTAGTTCTAATCTGCAGCTGCAGGCTGGGCTGCCAGCCACTACATCAGGCTCCAGCCCAGGCTGCTGGTGGCCCTGACCACCTCCAGAAACGGGGCACCCTCAGCTCTCGGGCAGCACCGCCAGCGCCTCGCTGCCCTCTGAGGGAAGAATTTCCACCACGCCTCACGCAAATCTCTATCAGTTTAAAACCGTTCTCCTTGCCTTATCGCTTCACACCCGTGTGAGCAGCCCTCATCCCCGGGCGGGGTTCCCCCAGCACGGCGCAGGGCCGGGGGTGGCACGGGGGAAAGGGAGGGAAGGGAGGGAGGGAGGAGCGGCGCCCGCTCCCGCCAGGCCCAGACCCTGAGCCGGGCCCCGCTCACCTCCATGGAGACGCGCCAGCCCTGCATCGCGCTGAAACCGAAGTGCAGCGGGCGCGGCCCGAGCCCGGCCCCATCCCCGGAGCTCTTCACCGTGTTGGGCTGCGAGAGGTACGCGCCCATGGCGGAGGCCGCCGCGATGCCAGCCCTCGGCGCGGCGGCCGTGCGCGGAGGGGCGGTGGCGGCGGACGCTGAGGCGACCGGAGAGGAGCGGGCGGCACCTGAGGAGCGCGGGCGGCCCGGAGCGGGCGGCGAGGCGGCGAGGGCGGCGGAACCACCCACCAACGAGTCGCCGAGCGGAAGTAGCGCGGCCGGAAGCGCGGGCTAGAGAGTCGCCACGGGGGTGGGGGGAGGGGGCGCTCAACCCGCTCGGCCGAGGCACGGGGACCGGAAGTGCGGACCATAGAGACGGGTGGCTCCTAGAGCGTCGCGGTCAGGTAGGCGTTCCGCTCGGCCGCCTCAGTCCTCCCGGAGGTCGCCCAGCGTATGGCAGTAGCGATCAGGCGCAGCCCTGAGGCTGCCCGTTCTAACGCTGCTCGGCTGCAGCAGCCCCTTAGAGGTGAGGTTTCGTTTGTACGCGCGCGAGGAAGGAAGAGCTAGGAACTCAGAACCGATGGCACTATAATGTTAACGGGGAGCACTTGGGCTTGGTATAGGGAACGAAGCATCACAGGGAGCACCTGAAACCCACTCGAGAGCACTCCGCAGAAAAATAAACGCACACAACACAATTCACCCACAGCTCGGGACTACTACCCGCCGCAATCGCTTTCCCCCGCCCTATATACCGCGGGCCCCCGCCGCCGACCAATCAGCAGATGCCGGCAGCCCGCTCCGCTGCTCCCATTGGTCGCTGTGCTCCCAGCTCCCGCCCCATCTTGCCCCACAGGTGCGCGGGCGCCCTCTATCGCGCCTCGTACCCCGAGCCCCGCCCATCGACCAATCCGCACAGGGCGAAGGTTAGTATCTGTGTTCTGATTGGCCGGCGAGAAAGCGGCCCCGCCCCTGACGGCGCGTTACGCAGCGCGGCGGTTGGCGGCGGCCGTCGGCGGAGCGGCTCCGCGTTTGGGGAGCGGGAGGTGCCGGGCGAGCCCGGTAAGCGCGGCCCGCGCTCACCGCCAGCGGCGTTCTCCGGCTCGGGCTGCGCCCAGCGAGGATCGGGTACCTCCCGTAGGTTTGGGGCTGACGGAGCTCGGCGGGCGCGGCCCGCTCCGGCCCCCTGGGCCTGCCGCTCCGGCCCGCTCCGAGCGAGGGCCGCCTGACGCCGCGTCCCGCCCGCAGGTGGTGCGACGCAGCATGTCGGAGGGCGAGGCCAAACAGGCGCCGAGCGGCGGCTCCGACCCCAAGCCGGAGTCCGCCTCGTCGGGGCCGGGGATGACCTCGGTGTCCGCGCCCGTGACTTCCGCGGCGCCCCCGGAGGAGGAGGAGGAGGAGGAAGAGAGCGAGGACGAGTCCGAGATCCTTGAGGAGTCGCCGTGTGGTCGCTGGCAGAAGCGGCGTGAGGAGGTCGGTGCCGGCGTCCGGGCCTCTGCGTTGCGGTGGGGCGGGCGCCGGGCGCTGCCCTTCCCGCAGTTGTCCGTTTGGGGCCGGGGGCCGGGAGCGGCCTTTCTGGGCTGTGTGGCGGCCTGAGGTCCGCCTGTAGCGTCGGAGGCCCTTCCGAACGGTTGGTATCGAGGCCGCCGCGTTGAGGAAGGGCCCTTCCTAGCGTTTGTTCGCCCGTCTTGTTTCCCGGCTCTTGTGTTCGGGGAGTAACGAAGTGCACTGATTGCACAGCGCCTGGTGAATGGAGTGGGACGTGCAGCAGAGCTGCCTCGTTGTGCAGACTCATCAGTTACGTTTGGGTTTGCTTTGAAGCCTTCAATTAGGGCTGGTTCTTGCAGACTTCTGGGCTTGTCTGATTTGCATTCATTTCTCAGTGCGTGTATTGGGACTGTCCTGTATGATGGCATGAGCAGATTAGATCACAGAATGGCCAGGGTTGGAAGGGACCTCAAGGATCATGAATCTCCAACCCCCTTGGCACACGCAGGGCCACCAACCTCCACATTTAATACCAGACCAGGCTGCCCAGGGCCCCATCCAGCCTGGCCTTGAACACCTCCAGGGATGGGGCATCCACAGCCTCTCTGGGCAGCCTGTTCCGATACCTCACCACTCCTCATAGTAAAGAACTTAAGATCTAAAGTAAGGAACTAAAGATCTAAATTAAAGAAGTAAAGATCTTTCTGAGCTCTTCCCACTTTTCTCTGTGTTTCTCCTTATCATCTCGGGGGGCTGCCTCTGGAGATTGGTTTCTGCTTCGTGTTGCCTTAGTGAAACCTGCTGTGGTTGGGCAAGCTGTGTGGCTGAGGAAATCTTACCTTTAGTGCTGCAAGGCGGGTGCTGATGTTGCCTTACTCAGCCAACTCAAAACAAGCACAGAGATGTCTCTATTAACAGATGCATTCATAGAGCAATGCAAACTCATGGTGGTGAAAGAGTCTCTTGTTCTGATGTAAATTTGGAGGTCGAAATAAGGTCAAGGATTCCCTGCATCTCCTTTCCTTTATTTATTTGAAGGCTGTCCTGTGTTTGTTAATGTATTCCAACGTGTATTAAGAATGTGCCTCCAGAGGTGCAGCTCTAAGGGGAGACTTCTATGTAAGACTCTAAATCTGTTCTCTGGAATACATTCCTTATGGCAACCTGAAACTATTGTTAGAAATACTGTTCTTCCCCCTCCTCCCCCCCCCTCCATGGTCAGTGCTGACTCAGTGCACCAGAGAGGCTTGGGAATGAATGAATCACAGAATCCCAGAATGGTCTCGGTTGGAAGGGACCTTAAAAACTACCTCATTCCAGCCCCTGCCATGGGCAGGAACACCTCATGCTTGGGAATGAAGGTGACTGATTGGTCTGATTGCAGCTCCCCTCTGTTTACTGGATATCTGAGCTTCGTTTCAACTTGACACATATCAAAGTAACAACAGAACGATTGTTGGAAGCCACAAAGGAATTGTTGGTTGATTTGGGCTAAAAATGAGGCCTCTAATCCTCAGTCCCTCATTATCGAGGTGGTACTGTTCTCTTGCAGAGTTGCTGAGCATTTATGTGTGTCTGATACAGGCTGCAGTTGTCTGTGAGACGTGGCTTAATTAGATCTAAGCTTGCATTACACTTCCAACCTCTGCTCGGATCAACACGTAGTGTGAAATTCCAGAACAACACCTTTACTTTCTGAACATCTCAGCATGTCCAAGTGCAGCACTGTGCTGTAGCAGCATCCCTGTGAGGGCTGTCAGTGGGACAGAGCAGCCAGCTCTGGTTATTCCGGTCTGTGTGCCCATGCAGACAGCTCTTACTCACTGCCCCTGGGCAGCAGGGTTACTCCACAGGGAAGGAATGCTGTGGCCTCCCCTCCTGCCATGATGCAATGCTGGTTCGTGATCCCAGCAGTGTCCTCTCTGGGTGCTGCCAGGAGCACAGTAATGTGACAGTATGTGCAGAATGCAGCCTGTATGGCCTGGGTGCAACATGTGGGCTCCCAGATCTTCAGTTCTTCACTTCTCAGCTTGAAGCATGGATTTGGAGCGTTATAACTGTGTTTATTTGTTAACAGCACATGGGTACCTCCCCTATGAAGACAGGCTGAGGGAGCTGGGCTTGTTCAGTCTGGAGAAAAGAAGGCTGCAGGGTGACCTCATTGCAGCCTTTTAGTACCTAAAGGGAGCCTACAAACAGGAGGAAATCAACTCTTTGAAGGTAGATAACAACAGGACAAGGGGAAATGATTAGAAGTTGAGGGGGGGAGATTTAGGTTGGATGTCAGGGGGAAATTCTTTACAGAGAGAGTGGTGAGGTGCTGGAACAGCTGCCCAGAGAGGCTGTGGATGCCCCGTCCATCCCTGGAGGTGTTCAAGGCCAGGTTGGATGGGGCCCTGGGCAGCCTGGGCTGGTATTAAATGAGGAAGTTGGTGGCCCTGCATGTGGCAGGGGGTTGGAGTTTCATGATCCTTGAGATCTCTTCCAACCCGGCCATTCGGTCATGCTGTGGTGGGCCTGGGGAGCGGGCAGGTCCCCATCTCTGTGCCCTGCTGTGCTGTGTGTGCCTCTGGAGCTGCCTCGAAGCGCCACATGGGCACAGGCGGACCAAGAGGCCTTCAGGGATGTCTCTGCTTGGTTTCCTACGACGTTCTTCCAACTTCCTCGGAGCCGTTTCTCCCTCCCTTCACTAAAGCTCTCTTCGGGCTCCCCCAGTCCCTCGCGCGTGGAAGGAGCCCCTCCCGGCGGGCCGCGGCCTTCGGAGCCGGGGGAGGCCCCGGAGTGACAGCTCCTCCAGCCAATGGCTCGTGGAGTAGGAGCATTACATCATCTACAGGAGCTCCCATTGGCTGCGTGAGTCCCCGCCCCCTTCGCAGCCGCTTCCGGTTGGCGCCGTTCGGCGTTCCCATTGGCTGCGTGCGGTCCCGCCCCCTGCCCAGCCGCTTCCGGATGGCGCTGCTCGATGTCCCCGCGGCTCGCGGTGGGGGCGGTGCGGTCCCGGCGGAGCGGGGCCTTGTGTTCAAGCGGTCAGGCAGAAGTTGTTAGCATACTGCCTGTTCTCCGCTGGAAGCTTTCCCGGATCTCCCGCTATTCATTGTGTCTTTGTTTTACGACAATGGTGAAATCACATGGCGGTGCCGGGTTTGCGTCCAGGGTGAGCAAACGAGGCTGTGCTGATGGGGGGCTGTTCGTTGTAGAGACAGGGAGCTTCTCTCCCACACTTAGTGCTATTCCCACCAAAGCTCGGGGAAAACTTTTCAAATGAGCCTTTCACACACCACCAGGACCTAAGGTGCTGTTTTAAGTAGATGGAGAATGCTTATCTTCCTTATGGAATGCTTAATGCAGAATGGTGTGGTCCTGCTGCTGTGTACCTTCTGTGCTTCCCCTCCTGCAGACAGCAGCATAGCTGCCTCTCCGCCCCTTTCTTTCAGACAGACCTCACTCCTCCCAGCCCTGCTGCCAGCTCTGTGCCTTCCTGTGGGCACACAGAGGGTCATAGAATGACAGAATGGCTTGGGTGTTGAAAAGGACCACAATGCTCATCTAGTTCCAACCCCCTGCTATGTGCAGGGTCACCAACCAGCAGACCAGGCTGCCCAGAGCCACATCCAGCCTGGCCTTGAATGCCTGCAGGGATGGGGCATCCACAACCTCCTTGGGCAACCTGTTCCAGTGCCTCACCACCCTCTGTGTAAAAAAAACTTCCTCCTTAGATCTAAGCTAAACCTCCCCTG